GTGGGTCAACAGAGGTTCCAGGCAGAAGAGGCAGCAGGGCACTTAGGGCCTCACTCAGTTTGGTCAGACCCTGCCGCAGGGTGCCAGCCAGCTCCCTGATAGCATTGGCAGTCTCCTGCTGCGCCCGCAGGAAGTCCAGGGAGGGGTCTGGGGCTGAGGGTGTGGGCAGAGGCAGTGGAGGGGGTGGAGGACTGGGGGGCAAGGGTGCCACTTGGACCTGCTGCGGTTGCTGGGGTGGAGGTGGAGGGACCGGAGGTGGTGGAGACAAGGCCAGACGGGGCAGCTGGATGGTCTGCAGGGCTGGAGGGGGCGAGGACTCACGCTCCTTGGGTGGTGGGCAGCCCCGTTCCTGGGGATTGCAGGAGGGCCGGGCCCAGGGCTCCGGGCTGCTGGAGCCCCCCTTGCTGTGGGCTGGTATATCTGTGGAGAGAGAGATGTAGGTAAGGTGTGTGTGACCCTGCAATGCTGTCTGGATTTCCCCTTTCCACTTCCCATCCACCTTGGCTCCAGAGCGATCTTTTAAAAACTTAAGTCAGATCGTGCCTTGTAATAGAAGCCTTCGGACCCAGAGGAGAGCGTCAATGTATTTATCAATAACCTGGAAGCCTCTGCCAGCCTTAGTGGAAACAGGGTCCGCCACTAATTGTGAAGCCAACATTCTGAAGGCTCTGAACCATCTGGATACTCAGCCCCTCCCTCCCCAATACTTCTCAGGCCTCCTTGCTGGATCCCGGGGAGGTCAAGAGGGCTGGGAAGAGAGGTGTGGTAGCTGGAGCAGGAGGGGGCACTTCTGGAGGCTGGGAGTAGGGGCTGTCTTCTACCAGGTTGACTGGATTTCAACCTCAGCTCTGGTCTGTACCAGTTCAACCCCAGGTCTGCGGGGCTTCCTCCGTCTCCTCTCACCTGGGATCTCATTCATGCCCATGAACTTGAACCCAGTCCACGTGCAGCGGCTCCCAGATTTCCAGACCCAGCCTGAACCTCTCCCTGCAGCTGTGGACTCAGCATACCCTCCTGATCGTCTAATAATGCCTCTCGCTCACTTGCCCAGAGCTGAGCTCCTGGTCCTCTACATCCTGTCCTCCCCCAGCCACCCCTATCTCGGCTGATGGCAGCTCCATCCTTCCAACTGCTCGGACCAAAAACATTCACTCTTTTTCTCTCTCAAGACCATGTACAAATACCATTAGCTCTGCCTTCAAATGGATAATCCAACATCCAACCTCTTTTGTCTACCTCCATGGCCCCCACCCTGGTCCAACCATCATCTCCCACCTGGACTATGGCAGTTGCCTCCTCACTGGGCTTCCTGCTCCCACCCTTGCCCCTCACAGTCCATTCTCCACAAGAGCCTCAAGGGTCCAACTAAAATACGCGTCAGTTATGCTGCAGGAAAAGCCAGTCACAAAGGACTACATATCACATGATCCATTTATAAGAAATGTCCAAAATAGGCAAATCTACAGAGACAGCAAGTAAATTAGTGGTTGCCTAGGGTTGGGTGGAGATGGGGGCTGAGGTGGGGGGCACTAAGAGGTGCAGGGTTCCTTTGCGCAGTGATGAAAATGATCTAAAATTGATTGTGGTGATGGTTGCACACTGTGAACATACTAAAAACCACTGAATTGTAGACTTGAAGTGGGTGGGTTATATGGTATGAGAATTCTAGCTGAACGGTGTTAAAAAATACAAGCCAGATGTTGACTTTCTCTGCTCAAAAGCCTTCTTGCAGCTCTCATCTCGCTCAGAAAAAGCAAAGTCCTCAAAGACCCCGAGGTTCTGCATGATCTGCCTCCACCGCCTCCCTGACCTCATCTCCCTCCCCCTACCTCCTTCACTTGGCGCCACCACCTTGACCTCAAACCCCTTAGGCTCCTGCATCAGGGTCTTTGCATTTGCTATTCCCTTGTCCTGGAAAAATCTTTCCCCAGACACTTGCCTGGCTCCTCCCTACCCTCAGGCCTCTGCTTGTAGGTTGCCTCCTTGGGAAGATGTTCCTTGACCCTCCGTTTTAAGTAGCTCCCGTCCCTGGTCCTTTGCTCTCCTAACCCTACCTGATTCATCACACTGATCTCCACCTGGCTTGGGATCCCGATGTGTGTCTGTCTCCTCCTGATGTCACTCCATCAGGCACGGATTTGTTTTGTTCACTGCCTTTTACCTAGCACTCTGAGTAACGTCCAGCACAACATGTTTTCTTTAATAAAAACAGAACTATGGCTTCCAGGGAATCAGCACCGATTGGGCCATCAGGCCCCAGGTCCTTGTAGCAACCCTCCCAAAGCTCCCTAGCACCCACAGGGGACAGTGCAGCCTCTCCCTGGGGCTGCCAGGCCTCAGGGCCAGTACACAGGGCATCCCCTCCACCACCCCCTTGGCCAGCTCGAATGTTCCTTCCTCAGGGAAGCTGCTACCTGCTCCTAGGCCAGCCCCCTCCAACCCTGAATGCTGGGGGTCCAGCCTGCTGGGAGAGAGTCGACGACCACAGCTAATAGTTGTTGGACACTTTCCTAGCCAGGCCCTAGGTAAAGCGGCTAAGCTCTCCTCCTGTGTTACTTCAGAGTCCTCTCAGCCATGTTCTGGGGTAGGCGCTATTATCAGCCCATCTTACAGATAAGGTAACTGAGGCCCAGAGAGGCATCACAGAGCTGCTGAATGGTAGAAGAGGGATTTGAACCCAGGTAAGCTCCAGAGCCTACACTTCTAACCACTCCCTGGGCAGGGGATGTGGGCCTGAGGGTGGTGAGTCTCACTCAAAAGGGGCATGAGAACCACAGACACTTGAAAATATGGCTTTTCATCTACTGAGTACAAGGAACAGAAAGTGGCCCTCTTGCCATGCTCACAGGGCTCACTGGGGTCATGGAGGGGCCATCACACAAGAGTTAAAATCCTATTCGCAGCCTAGCCGGTGTTGCTCAGTGGTTGAGTGTCGACCCATGAACCAGGAGGTCATGGTTGGATTTCGGGCCAGGGCACATGCCCAAGTTGCAGGCTTGATCCTCAGTAGGTTGCGTGCAGCAGGCAGCCGATCAATGACTCTTTCATCATTGATGTTTCTATCTCTCTCTCCCCCTCTCCCTTCCTCTCTCTGAAATCAATAAAAACATATTTTAAAAAAATCCTATTTGCAAACTTTGAGCCTCAGTTTCCTGACCTATAAATGGATGTGCATGAGTGCCTGGGACCAGGGGACCCAATGACAGATCATCTTCCTGAGGGCCATTACTGGGTGTCACTGAATCACCTTGGGCACAGGCTTAAGTGCCTGGTACACAGCAAATTCTCCATTTGTTATTGTTACTGTTCTTTCAAACATTAGGTCAGAGAGAAATGGTCCTTAGCTCTCTCTCCAGCAGGTCTTCTGTGTCAGATTCTAATCAAGGATGCTTTAAGCACATTCTTGCCTCAGGGCCTTTGCATGTGCTATTTCCTCTAGCTGGATGGAGTGTTCTTGCCTCAGATATCCATCCACTTGGCTCTATCTCTATCTTCAGGTCTCTGTTCAAATTTTACCTCCCCAGAGAAGCTGTCCTTTACTACCCTGTCTAAAGCCCTCCTGCCATCACTCACTAGCCTCTTAATGCTTTATTTTTCATCTTAGTTCTTATATGATCCGTTTTGGGTTGTTTGTGGACTATCTCCCATAACTAGAGTGTCAGCTTCATTAGGGAAAGAAAATTGTCTTTCTGCACAGTATTCCCAGCCTGCCTCAGAATAGGTGCTCAATAAATATTTGTTCAATGAATGAATGGATAAATAAAGGGGTTGCATGGCTTTTGAAAAAACAAGTTTGCCATGTCTGTTCCAGTTCAATGGGGCCATTTTACAAGTGGAAACACTGAATTTTAACTCACACTGAGAACAAGGGTCCCAAGTGACTGTGTCTCCTGTTTTAAGACACTTTCATGACTTCTAAATGCCCTCAAGATAAAGTCCAAAGTCTGACCTTCACTTACAAGCCACATGTGCCCTAATTCTGGCATGCTCATGAACTTTCAGTCAATATTAATTGTTATTGCCGGGCAATCTAGCCCCATTGCTAAGTGCATGGACTGTGAGTTGAACACAACCTGTATTCCAGTTTCAACTCTGCTTACTTGCTGTGTGACCTTGGGTGGGTGAAGGAACCTCTTTGAATCACATGACCCTGAACTGTTTTGTTTGATCATGTCCCTTCCTTTCTCAAAACCCTTCAGTGGCTCCCCACAGCACATAAGGAAACATTCAAACTCCTCACTTCAGCCTAAAGGCCCTGCATGGTCTCGTCTTTGCGGATTTCTCAAACCTCATCTCAAAACATTTCCTTTCTTCAGTCTTTCCACTCTCCCTCTTAACTGGGAAACTTCAGTTTTCTAAACTGGTCAAGTTTTCTTATTTCCTAGCCACTGCACATGCTGTTCCTTCTACCAGGAACATTTTCCGAACTCTTCATCCTCACTCTGTGTCTCAGCTCTGATTTCTCCTCCTCCAGGAAGCCCTCCTTGACCTCCCAGGCTGTGTCAGCTGCCCCCTCTCAAGTCATTACTGTCTATGTATGAGTCTGCCTTCCCCACTGGACTGTGAATCCCAGGAGGGCAGGACTGAGGATGTCTCAGTCACAGATAAAACACCGAGGTTTGATTCACACTAAGAACAAGGATCCAGGTGATTGTGTCTTTCTCTTGCTTAAGACACTTTCATGACTCCCAGATGCCCTCAAGATAAAGTCCAAAGTCTGACCTTTAATGTGTCCCCAACATAGGGCAGGTGCCTGGGGAGTAGCTGTAGAAGAAACAATAACCCGGAGTCAAGGCTGAGTGGAAAGTCTTGTACTCAGCTCTCTACACCTCCTCTACTCGGGGCATGACCTTGGGAGAGTTACCGAACCTCTATGAAACTGATTTATAAAATGGTGAAATAGTTCATACCTCACAGCATTGGCAATTATATCAAGAGCTAATAACGGGTGTTCAGGAGGCCATGTACTAAGCAATTCTTGCAGATTAATTCACTTAATCTTCACAACAACTTTTGGGTGGCAACTACTTTTTATCCCCATTTTACAGGTGCAGAAACTGATCTGCAGTAACTTACCCAAAATGACACAGCTGAGTGCAAAGCTGTAACTGGAGCCCAGTGTGCCTCCGGAGTCACTACCCTACAAGTCGTTTAAGGAAATGCTGCCTGAGCTGATGATGACTGCGGGTGGGGACTCTGGGGCCAGGCCTCCTAGGTCTGGGTTCTGTTTCTGACTATTACAGTCATTAGCTGTGGGACCCTAGGCAAGTCATTTCACTTTTCTGAGCCTCAGTTTCCCCAGGTTTAAAATTGAGATGACAGCATCCACCTAACAGGGTTGTAGTGAGAATTTGATGAGCGATGTAAAGGGCTTGGACCAGTGTGGGACACACAACAGACTCTGTGACTGCTCCTGCTCAGGTGATGGTGAGGGAACTCACCTGCCCTGCGGTCTTCCCTGCGGTCGTCTGACAACACGTAGCGTTGGGCGCAAGCACTGGGGGCCAGTGGCTGTGAGGAGGCAGCTGCAGGGGGCTGCTCAGCCCCTGCACCAGCTCCTGGCCCCGCCACACCTGGCCCGAGGATGGCAAAAATGGTCTCCTCCTCGGCAGAGAAGGCGTCCTCGGAGGTGGCCCCAGCACCCTGTGTGGAGTGCGGCACGCGGGCCAGCTTCTCCTTGGTGCGGCGCTTGAAGTCGTTCCAGCGCTTCTGTACCTCCTGGCCAGTGCGCTTCCAGCTGGTGATGCCGTTGATCTTGGCTGCGATGCCGTCCCACACACGCCGCCGCTCCGCCACGCTCACCCGACGGCTCTGCGCGCCGTAGAGCTGCGGGTAGTGGGCGCGCACCTCCCGGATCAGGATCTGGTTCTCTTCGAACGAGAAGCGCGGCTTGCGCAGCCGGGTGGTCTC